CATTTCACCTTAGTTTGAGTATATTCTTTCCTAGATTGGATTAAATATAGAAATGTTTTATCAATATGGATCGGGTCGATATGTATTCGGGTCGGTTATGGATCACTAGATTTGTATTGCATAAAAATAGGTCAAAACGGATTAAAATGGGTTAATTAGGGTTGGACCATTTTCGATCCCAATCCAAACTTGACGCTACTCACCCGTTTGACAAGTTTACTCACCGGCAATGGACATAATAAAATCCTTATTTATGCGCACTTACATATCTTATTAATAAAGCTCCCACAAAAGTCCACCAATGGCCCCACGATGAACTGGTCTAAAATTCCAATCCAAACTCAACTCAACTCACCCGCTTGACAAGTTTACTTACGGGCAATGAACGTCATAAAAAATCTTTGCTTAGGCGCACTCGCATATCTTATTAAAAAGGCTTCCACAGAAGTCCACCAATGGCCCCACGATGAACTGGTCCAAAACTCCATTCATTACTGTTCCATTGGACACGAAGCCAACGCCACTCGAACCTCCTCATCGATTGGTCGTGGCTTCGCCGCCAGCTGAAAAGAAAAATCTGGACCAAGTCCAATTCAATTTAATAAACTCGAGGATAACTACCAAAGATAAGAAAGATAAAGCAGGGAAGAGCCAATCAGTCAACCTTAGACGCACGCGTGTGCCACTTCCTTGACCACAAAGCAAGCAAATAGCATTGGCCAAACCCACTCAAGGTTGGCAACTTGGGCAAGTAAATTTCGATTGCAATTTGAAAACGACTCCATAACACTTGCCTGGAAAAATTCAAAACCGGAAGTTTGAGCTTAGGAATTAGACGATCCGGAATGGTAGTTTGGATTCTTTATTGGACGTGACCTCCTACCATTTTGAGAAGAAAATTATGGTTGAGACGCGACTTTCGAGGGAATGAGACGGGTGAACAGATCGACATTTTATTGGAGAATGTATGGAGAAAAGTGGGACTTTAGAGTTGATTCAAGTCGTGAAAGATTGCTAAGCGTTTGGTGATTTGGAGAATGTTTGCATTAGGTACGTTGGAATTCGCTATTAAGACTTAGGAGGTGTCATGATCTTGATGAATTTGTACGAGCGAATCTTCTGCCCTAAGTTACGAACTCGTCTTGGAAAAGGTATTTTCATCCGGGGGGAAAAAGAACGATTAGATAGCAACTTTCGACAATATGTGAAGAGTTCTATCAATTGAAAATCGGTTTTTTTTTTATCCTAATGGTTGATTGGATTTGAAAAGAAATATCAGATCCCAAGAGAGGAAACTCAATTATATTCGTCTCTTTGCATTACCGAAAACTTATCAACGACTTTGTAAAAGTTAAAGCAAATCACCTCATAGCTGAAATTGGCTCCATTTACTTAACAGAAAAATTGAACAATTTGAAAAAAAAAAACGAGTTAATGAAAAATATTTTCGTTATTTACAAATAAAAATGGTTAGACATTAATTGTTAAAAATAACAATAATCGTTTTCCGTCGATTCAATTATTTGAAGTCTGAAAAAATGATATAATTTAGGGAAATATTTTCTAAATTGCCGATGCATGACAATAATTCCCGTCGTGCAAAAAATTTGACCAGCGAAAAAAACCCCGCTTTGTTTTCGGATCATTTGTCGGAAACAACATGTCGTCAATTGAATGGGTCGGTGATGTCAAGGCCGATTTCAGGACAATGCTCCATCGGAGGCGGAGGCATCGCCGTCAAAGATAAGCCATTGGCCACGCCTTTGCCGTGCACGAGACTTTCTCTCCACAACACATTCATACCCCTCTTCACACTTTATCCTCTCTCTCTCTCTTCTTTTCATGTTCTCCCAAATACTCTAAATATTTCATTTGAATGGATATCATATTAACCTTGAGGGCCACATCCGCCACCGGCGGACCTGTGGACGGGCGGGGTTTATATCCGATGAATGAGAACGGAACGATTCGCCTGTATTTATGGGCATTAATCGGAACCTGGATATTTGGATACTTCTTGTTGTAGAAAGGGAAGAGATATTTTATGGATACGACCAATATATCGAGAATTTTTTGTAGGGTCGTAGTGTTATTCATATATTGCCCTAGTTTTGTTTATGGGTGATATTTAAATTTGTAACCTGCCAATAATCGGGAATCTGAATATTCTCCGAGGAAAAAATTCAGCCTTAACGGGCATCGGATTTCGATGAAAGCCGAGTTATTTGTGAGGATGTTATTTGCAATTTTTTAGGGGGCCAGAATTTGTGAGGATGATGAGGGTTTTTAGCGATGAGGGATGAGATGGCTTTGCCAGAGGTTCTTCCCTTCCATCCCCAAAGAGGGCAAAGCCGACAGAGAAGACCACCAAAGTTGTAAGGTTTTGCATGGCTGGATTTCGAGAACTCCCTCCCTCCCGTTTATAAAAATACACACAGAGCTAAAAAGCCATGGATTTCAGACCTTCCTCGGCCTTGAAGGTTCTCCCCTCCCAATGTGGTCGAATTCAAAGGAAAATTCAGGTCAGTTCGCAGTACGATCCATCTCTTGCGACTGCAATTAGGAAAAAATATTTTTGATCGCCTTGTGACGCTTCGAATGACCACTCGATGAAAATTTCAAAAGGAATTCGAACGCGTCTCTATGCAGTCTGGTCGGGTTTCTCGAAACGGCGCTGCACGGGAGCATTCGACAGGTAACTTTCGCCCTCTTTTCTCCGTCGATCGGGCCTCGATATGCTATGAGTGTCGGGGCGGTAACGCGTCGCCGAAGAATGGAAAATAGAAGCGTGTCGGGAACTTTCCGAAACCGAAAAAGAACAATTACCCATTTGACAATTCTCATTTGATCGTTGCTGGCACGAAAGAAAAAAAGAAGGTCCTAGAAATTGATAATATTCTTATTTTTGGACCATTTGATACGCCATGCTATTCTTAGGCTGACCTCCCCCATGGATTTTAGAGGCACTCAATTTCGGGCCGGCGTTGACGGGCTCCTCTGGTCAACGAATTTCATTCTCTCGCCTAACCCCTTTTCATTAAATTCTGCATTTATTCGGCATCACGTGATTGCCCCCACCAAAGGGTATGATTTATTAATTAATGGGAGGCAAAAATAGAAAAAAGAAATTTGCAAATTTCTTCTTCTTTTTTTTTGGGTCAAGAAGAAATTGCAATTTACCTTTTGACTTTTTTTAATTTCCTAATTTGCTGAGAAATCAAATTAGAGGACGAGGAGGACGATGTAGTCATAAGTAGAATCACATGTATTTTTAGAATTTTGTCCAAAAGGAGTTCTTCTATTCGATTCTTATCACGTGACCCGCTTGGCATTTTTCTTTTGTTTACTAATGGGAGAAAAAAAAAATAAAAGAGAAATATATTTAAGTAATAAAGTAGGGATATTTTGTAATTTGAAGGGCAATATAGGTTAGTTTATATTTTGGGTAGAATTTATGTGAGTAATTTTTTCTTAATATTTTCTACCACTCCATTTTATCTTTTCTCTCGAATTAGCATTGCGGAACCCTTTTTCTTTCCTTTCCATCCATAATAAACACAATATTTTTACTCCCTTTATTCGGCTTTTTAACTTTTGGCTAACCTCTTAGTTATCTTCTTCATAATCTACACCAAAAAGCATAGTTTTTTTTGCAAAAGAGATTATTCTTAGAGCCCCACGATATCATATGTTTATTGAAACTGGAAATGTCTTGGATACGATTCCTTCCTTATAACCTACCTTAAACCAACAAGCTGCAACCCATTCATCTACCACCACAACCCAACAATCCCTAACACTAAACTCACCACTAAAACATAGAAAAAACATACCAGAAATTACTTCGTCTCTCGCTTGGTGATCGCTTACATACCTCTACTTTTGAAAATCAACTAAAGATCAAACCATATAAAACCCTAGGTGAAATGACAAAAATAAAGATATGTAAATGGTTGCTTTGGGGTAAAAATGTGAGATTCGTTTTTGATTTTTTTTTTCTCTTAAGCATAGCATAAGGTTTTGAAACAGAGTAACTATTTCGCGTGACCGGAGCAATACCTCGAGTGCATCTTGATTGCTTAGATCACGACACACTTTTGAGGAATGAAGTTCGTTTGGAAGCAATATACCTTGTGCATGTAATAACGACCCATCTTACAATTTCATGCAGTGACTTCAAAGATGAGGCTCTCCTCGTGATACTAATTATCAGTGTAAGTCACTTCGTTCTACTATACGACTCTCACAAAGTGGCTGCTAATTCGTCGTCTGTATTTAATTGAACATGTCATATCGATGCATTAACATCATTATTAAAATGAAGAGTATTAATATGTGATACTCTACAAGTATGTGATATTTTTTCATAGTACAATTCGGCTGAGCTCATTAATGATGACAACCGTTCACACAGCCTTGAAAAAAACTAAGCGAGTTAGATTAATGCAAGACACCATTTATTAAACTAAACGAGTCTAGTAAGGTATCTCTTGTGGCCCTCGGTATATGCTCTAAAATGTAAGGAAATTCCTATGGTAATGTATTCAATGGAAGTATTTTAATCAAGAGATCCTTTGAATTACAATATGTACATTCCAAGAAGGTTACGTTTTATCCTAGAATATTAACTCTTGTGATGGTAAATTTTGGACATTGCAGTAATCTTCTTAAAGATGATATGTTTCAATAATTTTTCAAGATGGTAAATTTTCAAATTTATTTTTTCAATGACCCTCACATATTATCCGTTACTAACCTTCTAAACGTGTTAATAAATTCACGAAAATCTCAATTACTGATTTCAATACGGCCCAACAAAGCTCTGAGAACAAAAAAAAGAAACCGATAATTGCATTTCGTCGCAATCCATTCCCATTGGATCGTCAAATTCCATGAGCAATACGGACCCGAAAGATGGCATCGAAACCAAGGGCCTCTGTAACTCTCTGTCATCCTGTCAAAAGGGTTTTCACTCTGTTCCATCACCACCATGTGAACCTCTGAGCAAGCAACTCTCTCTCTCTCTCTCTCTCTCTCTCTCTCCTCTCATTGAATACTTTGTATCTTCTCCTCCTTCAACGTCTCCACGTCCTGGGTCTCTCTATCTATGCTGCGACAGAACCAGAGCTCGACCAAACCCCACAAATTTTCATTAAAAACATCAAACGGTGCAGAGGAGAGAGAAGCCAAAAAGATAATCAAGAAAGCAGTTGTTAGCATCTGTTTTGTTTATTCCCCGCCCACGAACCACCAACAAACCCCTCCCCATCACTGTGCCTTACTCTCTACGCCAGCACAGGGACGGACACCAGAACCCGATAGCCCCACCTCACCAGCTTCAACGCTTGCGCTGCCCTTCACCACCATAATCACCATCACCATCGCCATCATCACCATCACCTTCTTCTCCTCCTCCTTCTTCATCAAGAACTCCGTTTCTTCCTTTGGTGCTTCGCAGGCTATTAAATGAGATATGGCGGAGCTCAAGAGGCCACCCACCAAGAGCAGGGGCTTCTACGTGAGGATGAGGCTCCTGCACGGCTACAGCAAGCACCATCAGAGACAAGCCCAAGACAAGAGCTTCTTCCGCAGACACTACAAATGGGTCCTCTGGCTGTCTCTCTCCTGCTACTTCTTTAGCCCTTACCTCCTCAGCCAAAGCCCCAAGCAGAGCCTCAACCCTCTCCACGCCACTGGCTTTGCCGGCTCCGGGTCGACTCACTCCTCTCGCGCGCTCTTCGAGTCATCATTATCGCTTAGTAACAGTAGCTCCAGACGCTCGCAAGAACCCAAGATAGACCAAGGTTGGTAACCGCTAAAGTTTCGATTTTTTCTATCCTTTCCCCTGTTTCTGCCTCAGGAGTCGTTAACGTTGTTGGCACAACCTCTCTGTTCTCGTTTCTTGCAGAGTTGAGGGGCTTGAAGATATACGTCTACGATTTGCCACCGAAGTACAATTCCGAATGGCTGTCGAACGAGCGATGCAGCACTCACTTGTTCGCGTCGGAGGTGGCCATCCACAGGGCTCTGTTGACTAGCGACGTCCGGACGCTCGACCCTCGCGAAGCTGACTTCTTCTTCGTCCCCGTGTACGTGTCCTGCAACTTCAGCACCACCAATGGCTTCCCGGCCATAGGCCACGCGAGGTCGCTGCTGCTCTCCGCCGTGCAGCTAATTTCGTCGGAGCACCCGTTTTGGAACCGGAGCTCCGGGTCTGACCACGTCTTCGTCGCCTCTCACGATTACGGAGCTTGCTTCCACGCCATGGTAAACGACCCCCCCAAGAAAAAAACCAAAATGATTTTGTCCTTTTTCTTTCAACACGAACGTATCCTGAGCTATTTGTCATAAATGTTCGCAAATCGCCGCGATTGACACTCAAACTCGTCTTGGAAGTTGGAAGCTTTGGATTGAAGTTCATTTTTCCCCAGTGTTTTTTAAAGTTTCATTTACGTTAGTGGATGGGTTTATCAAGAATTTGGTTTAGCTGATGATTAACCGTGGGTCATCTCTTGATCATTTTGTAGGAGGATCGAGCTATCGCGGATGGGGTGCCGGAATTTTTGAAGAAGTCCATCATACTGCAGACGTTCGGTGTCAGCTACGACCACCCGTGTCAGGACGTCGAGCACGTGGTGATTCCGCCCTATATTCCGCCGGAGAGCGTACGGAGGACGCTGGAGGCGTCGCCGGCGGGCGGCGGCCGCGACATCTGGGCCTTCTTCAGGGGCAAAATGGAAGTCCACCCCAAGAACATCAGCGGACGCTTTTACAGCAAGTAAATGATCCCCGTCTCTTTACTTCATTGCGCTCTAATCAAACTCCTAATCATTGCACCACCCTCTCGACATTACTATATTGCCCTCAGCTGAATCTAATAAGCTAAGAACTCAAAACTGTCGAGTTGTAATCATTTCCTCAAATATGGTATTAATCTGACGTGTCCTAGATGCTCAAAGATCTGTTCCATGTGAATGTTTGGGATTTTTTTTGTTTGACCATAGCGAATGTTTAGCATTTTGATGTTGTGCTGATGTGTAATCTGCGTGTCGTGCCTTCTCCAGGGCGGTGCGATCGGTGATCTGGCACAAGTACAGCGGCGACCGGCGGTTCTACCTCAGGCGTCACAGGTTCGCCGGCTACCAGTCGGAGATCGTCCGGTCCGTGTTCTGCCTGTGCCCGCTCGGGTGGGCCCCGTGGAGCCCGAGGCTGGTGGAGTCCGTGGCGCTGGGCTGCGTCCCCGTCGTGGTCGCCGACGGGATCCGCCTGCCCTTCCCGGACGCCGTGCCGTGGCCTGAGATATCGCTCGCGGTGGCGGAGCGGGACGCGGCGAGGCTCGGGCCGATCCTGGGCCGCGTGGCGGCGACCAACCTGAGCGCCATCCAGAGGAAGCTGTGGAGCCCCGAGGTCCGGCGGGCCCTGCTGTACAACGACCGGGTCGAGCGCGGCGACGCCACGTGGCACGTGCTGCGGTCCCTGGCCCACAGGCTGGACCGCTCGCGCAGGAGGAGGAGGAGCAGGGTTTACGGCCAATGAGAGCAGGAGCTCAGGTGGCGGGCGGCGATTGGCCGTTCGTGAGCGCCAGCTAGGCATCGGCTCTTTCGTCCGACGTGGCGGAGGGCGATAATGCGGGACAGCTGGGCGGCTCTTGCATCTTACATTATGGGGGCAGTGGGGCCCCCGGAGGAGGAGGGAGGCGATTTAGTACGAAGAAGCGGTGGGAGTGGGGCCCCCCGCCTGTTTTAAATCGGCGGAGCACAAGATTTTGGAGATATTTTATTATTGTTTTTTTCTGTAAAAAAAAAGGAGGAGAGTTATTTTGGGTTCTGCGTGAGGGACAAGCAGCACACAATCAAAACGACGTAGGTATTATGATTTTTATAGACGAGAGAGAGAGATAGAGAGAGAGACACTGTACAGGCTGTGAGCATTGAAGGACGGGGGGGGAGGGGGCAAATCTTCGGGAAGATAAAAGTAATGTCACTTGTACATGTGATTGAGAGATTATTATTGTTTTGTGGATAATATTATTTTTTTTTGGGGGAAAAGAAGGGAGGGGAGAGGCAGACAGGAAGACAGATGCTGGTTGTGTTTTTTGGGGGGTCATTTTGACCCCGATAATGTCCTCCTTAGGTGACGAATACAAATTCGTCCTTTTCGGGTACGAAGTCATGTCTCTAGCTGGTGTTCCGGGGACGCTAATCAACCAAAAACAAGAGACGGGGGTCTTGTTGGTGGCGCTCGAGAAGCAAAATCTCGTCGAATGCGTCGGGTCTCGAGAGAGAGAGAGAGGGATAAAGCTAGACTCTAAAGGGAAGGAGTTTATAAGTGGGTGATTCGATTGGACCATGTAATTATTGGGAATGGGAATGGACAAAAACCTGCGAAGGAATGAGTATTGTTGAAAATCCGGGGAGCTTCTTTTTATGGGGTTATTATGAAAAGTCGTTCTTTTTTATTTCTTTTCTCTTGTCGTGCAGAAATTGGAGGAAAATTAAAAAAAAAATAAAAATAAAAAGGAGGATGAAAAGAAACAATGAAAGAGCAACGTGTGACAGGTTGGAGGGTTGTCAGAACTTTGAATGTGGGGAGAGGGTTGTCAGAATGTGGTCACGGGCATTTCCTTTCCCCCAGTACCTTGTCCTCTCTGTCTTTCCCATATGATATGGCTTTGACAGTCTGACGTTCGATTTTAATAAGAACTCGTTATCGATTTGAGCTTTCTCTAATTAATTAATTACCTTGCTAATGACGACCCTAAACTTGTCCAAGGGAATGCTTGTGCTGCAGAGCGTGAATTGCAGACCACCGGAGGTGTAGAGAGACTTCAGGAAATGGCCGAAGCAGGAGGGTTTCTGTTGGCTTTTGCTCCGATGATCGGTGGAGCTTTACGGGCGGCGATCTATAGTTTGATGATGTTGCACTGTGGTGACTTGGCCCGGCATAATGTTTTGGACGACAGGTCGGTCCGTCCGCAATTTTCAGGGACCGGAATGGACCGGGGTAACTAACCCTGCTTGGGTCCTGCATGGGTTGTCAGTAGGAGTTGGTGTCGGTGGGTCCGTCGAGCCATTCCGACCGTCCCTTATCCATGGTGGGTTCGTTTGGTTCTTTCCCTCTCGTGCCGAGGGGAATTAGTTATGCTTCGGCGTAGTTTTTAATAGGTTTGGGATCAAATTAGGGATGGAAACGGGTCGGGATTGATCGGGTGTTCGATCTGCTCGTGCTCCATTAATCGGTAGATTTCGATGGATTCCTAATGTATGGGGTTCCGGACGAGTGTGAAACCTATAAAAGATTTACAATAATAGTTAAATACCCTTATTTTTTTTATTCAAAATATGGTTTTTATGTATATTTCGTGGTATCTATAAGTGGAAGTCTCGAATTTCTTCTTTTTGGTACATGTATTTGATAATTTATCGTTTACTGTGTGTGTTGGGACAGGTCAACTTCATTTGGGATTGAGATGGGGCTTTGACTTTTCTTGTAGCAACACGAGTTGGAGTTGATTTGGGTTTTACTTTCAAACCTACGTGAAATCATTCATTTTCCGTGAAACAAACGAAGGCCGAGTTAAAAACCCTTATCCTTCTATTCAATGAAATCTTATCCTGGTAATTTCACATTATCTATGAGTAAAAGACTTTGGTTCATTTTTTCACTTGAAAAAAGGTTTTCTTTTTTAACTACTCTCTTCTATGTATAAATGTGCGTGTTGCTCATGGGATTGAACCCCGGATCTGGTACTCCTTTACCTAGCTGCATGCCTGTATAAGAAAAAGAAGCATAAAACAGAACAAAAAAAATAAAAATCCGACCTGCCGGATTCGAACCAGCGACCTAAGGATATGCTGTTGGATGTTCCCACTACAGTCCTCCGCTCTACCAACTGAGCTAAGGTCGGTTTTTGTTTACCCTTCCGAATTAAACAAATTTATTTAAACGTGCAACTGTTTGTGATCTTGGGCCTCACTCAACGTTCCCCGTGTATATGGGCCTTGGGCTGATCCACATTAAAATCCGACGCTTATGTTAATTTTGAACTTATTCGATTGCACAAAAAAAAGTAATATACCTAGCAAATGTGCACCCCTCGTTGCGACATGAAATTGAGAACGAAGTCCTTTCCACAGGCCCGGGCCTGAGGTGCCTTCAGTTCATAATTTTCTTCCTATTTTGCAACAGAAGATTCCAAGCATGTTGATAGACTTGATCCACATAAATTCACCACTAGATCAAATTAACACAATGGAATACATTCATTCATCGTCTCATGTATGGACAGTTCAGGTTCTTCAGCAGCAAACGAACACCTTAATTATTAAATTATTCCAACACAAATTGATGTAACTATGGCCACATAGCACGACCTTTTGTTCTTTGAAGGCATGGACGCTCAACCCGGCCTCTTGCACCTGCTTCTTTGGTCCGGGCAAGTTTTGACCCATCTCACGAACCTCCAAAGTCAATCTGTTTGATAACTAAAAGCAACCCCAATTCTAACAATCACTGAAAAAGATCGAAGTAGCTCGACCGAAGTCCGGATTCCCAAGCTCCCTTTCAGCACTCGGGCGTGAGCGTGTGGTCTCTCTTGGGGTCCGAACAATAGTCGTAGACCATGTGGTTCCTCTGCGCCCACTCCATCGCCAAGTACTGCTGCCGGCTCAGCCCGCCTGCTCCCGAGGGCGAGACGGAGGGCGGATTGCACGAGCCGGCGGACCTGTCGGCGGCGCACCCGCTCAGCCTGAAATTGGTGTACCTGCCCACGAACGGCTCATACCGGTAGTCCACCTTGTACTTGCCGTTCTCGGTGGCCCAAGATGACGCGTCCCATATCGATCCGTACACCCACATCGGCCTTGAGGGAAAGGTCGCGTCGCTCTTTCTCGGGTACCTCCTGATAGGAACATCATCCACCAGAAATCTGCCAATGCTCCAGTTACAGTGAATAGGATCGTATGGAATATTTCATTTAGACCTGTCCTTATACGTATAAATCATGCTTATCAAGTTTCAAAGAGTAGTATTGGAATCTATACTGGTCTTCACATATTACATTACCGTGCCAAAATTCGCGGAACCGGACTACTTAACATATGAAGGGTTTTCCAAGAGACTTCAAGAGACTAGTTGAGACATTTCTTATGTTGGATCGAACCAAATTAGTAATCTAATAGGTTAAGGAGAGGGAAAGAAGAAGACCCACATGATCTCACTCGGTGTCCATAAAATGGCATAGTTGTGGAAATCCTTGGTGGGATCGAACCAGAGGTGGAACTTCATCTCTCTTCCAATGATGTTTCCATCACCACTTCCTCTGACGAAGACGTTGGTCTGAAGAGTGTAAGGCTTGTCTGGTGTTGTTCCCAGAAACTCGATATCGACCTCGTCATGGTTGCCTGGGTGGGCTTCATTGTTGGAGAGCTGATGATATCCAAAAATTCATTAATCTCTCAGAAACATTTTCTAAGGTATATTTCCCGATACTCTTACCATAATACTGTCCTTGTGGATAGAAGAAGGAGATTTAGAAGCTGCACATAAGCTTCAGCAGTATAACCAGGTTGATATTTCATGTTTCGTTTTATCGGATTAAAGGGGAGTTGTGCAAAAGCCGTCTCATGCATTTTTTTTTTTTTGATAACCAAGGTATCCCACGTGCAATGGACTATTCCTCGGGGTGGTGGGGTACAAGACCAATGCCACCGGGTAAGCCCCCAAGATGTGATCGGCGGGAGTTGAACCTGGGACCTCATCAGTTTTACTGTCTGAGGCCAGGAACTCTCAACCACTCGACCAATCACCCCATTGGTTTGATATCCATTTTTAGGAGAAAAGTTTGAAAAAATAAAAAATTGGGAGGGATGTGTAATGCTAGCTCTTACGTAGAAAGAAGTAATAACTCCAGCAGTATAACCAGTTTGTAGCTTGATGGATGCACTGAAATAACCAGATTGATATGGGTGAAGAGACTTAAACCCACTTCCTGCTTCCAAGAAAGAAAAAAAGGTGCTAAAGTTAGTCCATTATAAGCTCAAAAAGATTCTGAAAAAAAGCAATAGACCGAAAGTTAAGAAGCTTTTTTTCAAATAATTGTATGAAAGTCCATTAGATAAGGTGCACTATTCAAATATGCAATCATGCTGAGTCTAATATTTTCAAAAAATATCGTGGGAAGTACAACCAACTGCTCTTAAAGCCTACACTGTTAAAAGAAGGTATCACTTAATATTTAAATGCTCTAACACTGTCTTTCATGCATAAATTGGATTTTAATTTATGACTAAATCGTGAAAACGGATAATAAGGAAGGTAAATAGAGGACTGAAATGAATTGAAGTCAGGATTTCATACTCTAATACATGCAATTCTAAAATTTTAAATTATCAGAACAAGGCGTAGATAAATATATTTATACCAAGAATTTTGAGGAGGCTTATAATTATCAGAAACCTTGTGATGACTAAGGAATGATGATGAGGAGACCTGAACTAGTGTCAAGCCAGATTGTCAACGAGCCCTGGTCTAGCCTTTGGTGCCGAGGGCCCCAGAGGTTTCTGAACCCTTGATCAAACCCTATGGAGCCAAACCTTGAGCTTGGATAGTAGCCAGGCGAAGGTGGACCCTGTGCACTTGTGGAAGCCCAAGCGATACCAATTACAATGAGAATGATGGGAAGAGAGAAATGGAGTGACTTGAAGAGGAAGAAAGAAGGCGGAGACATGATCCTTAGATTAGGTTCTAAGATAAGAGAGTTGAGAGGATATTAGATTGAGCATGGCAATAAAATGGAGTGGGCATAAATAGAGAGAGAGAGAGAGAGAGAGAGAGAGAGAGAGAGAGAGAGAGAGAGAGAGAGAGAGAGAGAGAGAGAGAGAGAGAGAGAGAGAGAGAGAGAGAGAGAGAGAGAGAGAGAGAGAGAGAGAGAGAGAGAGAGAGAGAGAGAGAGAGAGAGAGAGAGAGAGAGAGAGAGAGAGAGAGAGAGAGGTGCGATGGACCCCCTATATTAGCATAGGGTGATAAGGTGGTTGATGGGAGTGATGGACCCCCAATATTAGCATAGGGTGATAAGGTGGTTAATGGGAGTTGTAGATGGGGACAAAATAGGTAACGTTTTGATATGGTATGGTGTAAAAAATGTTCCTTTCATGTGTCGTGTTCCTTCATTCTCTTTTCCCACTGTCAAATGTTATATTAGGATACAGACGTAGCGAGCAAAAGGTAAATATACATTCAAATTTCTAACTGGAATCGTTTTACCAAGTGACCCAACAATTTCATCTTGAGTTTTTTTTTTTGGGTGTAAATGTAAGTAGTATTTATAAGATGACATACAGAAGTTTATGGACATTCCCCAGCATTACAAATAGAACTAAGATTACAAAAAAATGGAGTGGGGGAGTCTCCATATAATAGCCAAAGTTTCATTTGTTCGAGACGATCTAAAAGATTTGTATTCATCTTGAGTTATTAGGTAAGCTGGTCATTCTATTTTTATGTCTCACTTATTCCAACATATCAAATTAGAAAGGAGTTCTGATATAATTTCTAAGTACATCTTGTATCTCTCAAAGCATGTTTTGTGCCATAAAACAAGGGTTGCTCACACCTAGGGTCCCAAAGAAAACGAGTGCATAAATTGTTGTCTAAACTCATTCTATCATATTGTAAAAATACATACATTCATATATTAAAAAATATATAGATCTACACTAGATACTATAAAAGACATGTCCCTTGTATCATGCTTGATTCTTTCGACAAGAAAACTTCGTTCACGAAGGTTAAGTAAAGAGCAATCTATCTATGGCATAGCAGATTTAACTACGTACATATGTATTGCTCAAACGAAAGCAGTTGGGTCAAAGCTCCAAACAGATGCACAAACTCACACCTCTGTACCCCAGGCCCTCGTTGACTTTTTTTGCTCGTATAAATACACATATCTACATACAAAATGTTGAATCGATGAGTCATACATATGAATCAAACTTCTTATGCTTAAGCTTAGCCAGTACATATTAGTCAGACATGGGCAAAGGGCCGTAGTTCCTAGGTCGTGATTCTCTAATCCCTACATAAATTCCGCTCAAGGTGGACAAATGTATAACGTAAAGATTTTTCGGGTACCGTATACATCTGTTTCGCCGGAAATGCTCTTGCGACGAAATATAATTTATCGAAAGTTGTTTTTCGGTTCTTAATGAGAGGAGACCGGGTTCTGTGCCTAACACCGGACAAGAGATATCCAGAAGTGAACAAAAAGCTTGTTTATTTCGATTAGCAGCACAAATTTATACCGTGACGAGATTGGCTAATAAGAGCTTCAAATTTTATAATCGATTTAGACAAATTCGTCCGGCCATTGACTGGCGGCATCCAAACTCCATTGATACGACATTACAAAACTACTGTGCTTAAAATGTAGACGACTCCAACTAGGGAAATTAAAAGTGCAGTACTGAAAAATAAAGATAATTGAAAGACAACATTTTGATGTGTGTTCGCCGGGGGGGCTTTTTTTGGCTGTCGGGTAGTATTTATACTATGAGTCTGATAACCATCTTCTGATACCATATTCAATTACTACCATTGATCTCATCTTCACCGTTTATTTTATGACACCAGTTCATTAACTGCTATCGATTTTATCTTTTTTGTCTTGGCACCTATCTTTTTTTATGTGATAATCATCATTGATCTCTTTTCCATCATGATACTTGTCCTTTATGTGATAATAGTTATCGTTCTCTTTCCGTCTTGACACCTGTCCTTCCCTATACGATAACCGTCATCGATCTCTTTCGGTCTTGACACCTGTCCTTCCTTATGCGATAACCGTCATCGATTTTTTTCCGTCTTGACACTTGTCCTTCCTTATGCGATAACCGTCATCAATCTCTTATTGTCTTGACATCTGTCCTTTCCGATGCGATAACCGTCATCGATCTGTTTTCGTCTTGACACCTGTCCTTCCCTATGCGATAACCGTCATCGATCTCTTTTCATCTTGACATTTGTCCTTCCCCATGCGATAACCGTCGTCGATATTTTTCCGTTTTGACACCTGTCCTTTCCTATGCGATAACCGTTATCGTTCTCTTTTCGTCTTGACATCTGTCCTTTCTTCTTTCTCGTCAACAGCTTTGATGACCTAGGCTCCCTATAGAAATTTTCATCGACGACCTTCGGTATGGCAGCTCAGGTGGTGCTTGCCTCTTCTACGATTCTAGTCTTTTCAATTTCAAATTCTCAAATTTCCCGCCAGGATATTCCAATGCTTGCCAACTGTTTGCTTACGTAAACAACCTTTTATGGGTTACGTCACTTCCTGACGACCTTCACACATTTGTCTCCGTTACTTTATTTTTTTTTGCCGTTGACAACCTAATTAATTATAGGTTTCAACAATATCAAACAATGGCCCCATGAGCTAGCTTCAATTATTATGGACATAAAAAAGTCGAAACGGTACCTGAAAATGGTACGTACCCTTCTTATATTATCGAGAATGGAAAGACAAAACTAAAGAAATTTACAAATATAACAAGAACATACCATCGAATTGAAGATGCAATGCAAGCGCGGATTTTCCGTAAATTTCTATTGTAAGGGAAAAGAGGCAATACATTAGTCGTAGCATAGACGCACAATGCTACGAAACATACATCGGAATACAAATTACATCTCATATATGTCCCGCTTTTAGGGTTATGCTGTGGCACATTATGCTGTGGCACATGTTGTTCGACATGCGTAAATAGAGCACCGCACGTGTACATCCGGTTGACGACGTATGATAACGTATGAAATGTTGCGTATTGTTTGTGAGCAATCAAGTTCCGATGCTAAAAGAAATAACCCTTCAAAACTTTCGTTTAGCCATCGTTAAAATGCACATCGATGTTGCTGTAGATGAGGATATTCTGAAGAGAAGATATCTTTCATATGTTCGAGAGTGTTATTGCACGTTAATTTGTCTCTAAATCGTCATGCTAACGTCGGAGCCTGGTAATATACTCGACCCTATCTCTCCTACAACAAGAATACGTGCTCAACAAATATAATATAGCGCAAGCAATCTTTGAATGGATAACCTTGCATCATCTTCTTTGGCATCATCCTTAATTTCTGGTAAAACGGTTCAATTATTAATCACTTTTATAGAAAACATGGACAATCCCTTCACTTAAGGAAGAACAAGAAGGGGGCGTCGTACAAAATATTGTGCCGACATGCGAGATTTTGATGTCTTTTTCTCCACATAAACCCTCGCCTTTTGTTATACCGCTTGCTGTCTTCATACCTTGGATTTGTTTCCTGATAATCCTGCCGGTGGATTTGTTTGTCTCATTATTAGCAAGGTTAATGTGATATTCTAAATACAGGATTGCAGACACGGGAATATATATACTTTGATAGCAGTTGTAGATGCAATTGATGATTCTGATGGCAATTATGAGATCCGAATCGTCGGATAATATGAAGAGCTGGACCCCGACAAATGCACACTGGAATCCAACTCGAGCTGAATTCGACATGACTTAAATTGAAGAAGATGTAAAATTTTAGAAACGATAGTATTTGACAAGACCCGAAAACTTGACTTAGAATTGATTGAATTTGAACAATGCATGTCAACAGTTCACGAAATCTTGAGTGTTGTCGTGAAATTGAGAAACATGTAACATCAGGATAGTGATCTTTGTTAGAGTTCCTATTTTCCAAATAATCCAAGTTGTAATATGAATTTTGTTACGAGAAATGTTAAAGAAAAAAGAGAAAATTCTCATCTGAGAATTAACTCTGTTCATCAATAATACGAGTCCTTCAATTATTAAAAGTAAACGTGCTCGGAACAACTTTGTGTCAATCGGTGGTTCAAGAAGTTGTCATTTCTGCCCCAATCTGTCGAAGGAATAAGCAATCATAGCTCTTGTCCAAACTAAAATATGTGGAAGTGTAACCGCAATTAGCTCGAAGGACTAGCTAAAACCCTAGGGTTGTCGCAATTGATTGGGGTATGGAAGGATTTCAAGCTCAAGAACTGGAGGTCACCTGTTCCATTATCCGTGTGTAAAATGTTCTGGATCAAAGTCACCTACACAGTTCAAAGGTCTGGACTTAACCTGTTCATGAGACACTCTAGGTATTTATAGATCTTTAGGTAACTGAGTATCCATACCTCGGGCCCTTGGATTATAAAAAAAAATAAAAACACGCGGTGACTTATGCATGTTATAAGATTTGCTTTTGGCCATGGATAATTGCATGTATAAAGTTGCAATTTGATCAACCACCCCTTCTACTTGCTCCCAACACACGTACCTATTGGAAACATCTCATTGGCCTCGCTTGATCACCTAATAACTTTAACCTTAAACTTGGGAATATTTAGACATTACGAATTATTGCCTGCACGTAACTGAAAAACAAAAAAATTCTACTTCGAGAAAGTTGAACATAAAGAGCATTTGATGCAATGACAAGGACGTGGTGGTAATTGCAAAGCAAGGTTTGCACAAGCCGTCCTTGAATACTGGCGATGTTGCCGGTCGCACACGCGGTCGTATTGACCTTGCACGTGCATGAGTGCTTGATTAGAGGATATTTATTACGAATCATATAGATTTAAGTTGTCTACATAATTCTCAAATCAAGGGCGGATGATGCGGTTCGTGCAAAATATTCTTTATACCGGCGGCGCATGCTCTAATTCTTCTTTCTTTTCTTGTGTCTCCCCTCGTAATCCATCA